GGGGGGGGGGGGGGGGGGGGGGGGGGGGGGGGGGGGGGGGGCCACAAGAGCAGGAAGGGGGGTCCTAAACCCAGGAAGGGGGTACCCCAAATTGTGTGGATGCAGGTGTGGCAGAGCCCCCCCCACCCTAGTAAACCTCCCCTGTACCTCAAGACCCCCTCAAAAGCCCCTCAGCCCCACTCAAAAACTCCCCCAGGACCCCCCACTCCGTCTCTCTTTTATTGGGGGTTGGCAGCAAAAGCTGCTAGAAAACGGGGGGGAGGATTTGGAGGGGCTGAGGGGGCCGGGATTTGGGGGGGCCACCCCCCAAGCCTCCCCAAGGATGAGGAGGATGAAGGGGGGGTCACGCCTTGGCCCCGCCCGGGGCCGCCGTGAGCTGCTGCAGCTTCTGCGTCATCATCTCCAGAACGGCTGCGGGAGACAGGGGGGTCAGGGGGGACCCCCGAACTGAGGGGACCCCAAAACCCACAGCAAGGACACCGGGGACAGGGGGACCCCAAAACTGGGGGGCGGACATGAGGGGTCGGGGGACCCCAAACCCCGGGGGGACCCCAAACCAAGGGGGGTTGGGGGGAGTTGAGGTTCCCCCAAGCCCTGGGGGAGTCGGGGGTCCGTGGGGGGGGTCCCCCAAAGCCGGGAGTCCCGGGGGGGGGTGCCCACCCTGTTTCATGGCGTGTTTCTCCTGCAGGGCCGGTTGGATTTTCTCCATTTGCCGTGTCAGGAACTCGATTTTCCGCTGGAAAAACGCCCGGGCGGCGTCGGCGGACTGGGAATGGGGGATGGGAATGGGGATAGTGGGATAATGGGAATGGGGGGGATGGGAGGATAATGGGAATAATGGGGGATAATGGGAATAATGGGGGATAATGGGAATAATGGGAACGGGGGGAGTGGGGATAATGGGAATGGTGGGAGTGGCGGGAATGATGGTAATAGGGGGATAATGGGAATAATGGGGATAACGGGAATCGGGGTAATAATGGGAATAAATAATGGGAAGAATGAAAATGGGAATGTGGGGAAACAGGGTTGAAAAATGAGGGTGGGAATGGAGGAAATGGAAATGGGGAGGAATGGGAATAATAGGAATAGGATTAATAGGAATGGATTGGGGGAGAAGAGGGTGGGAATGGGAATGGGTGTGAGAATGAGGGGGGATGGCAATGGGAGAGGAATGGGATGAGAAAGGAGGTGGGAAAGGGGGTGGGAAGGGGGGGAAAAGAGGGAAAAGGGATGGGAAGGGGAAAGAACCAGGATGAGAGCAGGGCAAAAAAAACCCAAACCCCCCCCAGACTCCCCACCTCCAAGACCCCCCAAAACCCCCCAGACCCTCTCAGGGCCCCCTCCCAAGCCCCCCAGGAGCCCCCACCGTGCCCCTCAAAGCTCTTCAAAACCCACCCCAGCCCTGCCAAGACCCCCCAGACCCCCTCCACACCCCCCGAGACCCCAGGGCCTCCCCCCACCTTCTCCACGTAGTACCCAGTGCCCACGTCCACCAGGACCCTCCTGACGTCCGAGAGCTTCCCTGGCACGTACATCTGGGGGGGTCAGGGAAAAGGGGGCACAGAGGACAAGGCAGGTCTGGGGA